ACAACATTTTGTGATCGGACTTTACACAGTCCCAGCTTTAAGTTCAGACTATCTCTAGGCTCTTTTTTTTTAACAGTCCTATGCATGCTCCTTTGCACGTTGCCTAGGTTACAATTGGATTACGATCACAATCGGGCCTAGGTTACAATTGGGTCAAGGTCAAAGTTGGGCAGGAAATACTCACGGTTCTTCACTGCCTGAGAAATGCAGGTCCACATTCAGCAGGATGCTGGCTTCGTGCAGCGACTCTTCAATCTGACAAAAATGAACGACCCTAATCGATCCATCAAGGCTCCATGTGTAACCCTTAAATCTAAATAACATCGGGCTCAATTCAATATATCAGCACCAGGAACTGTTCTGGACACATTCCATTACATGTTGATATTCAAGAACTGTGTTGTTTAAAGTCTTTCAGTGAAGAACTGGTGTCAACAGGGGCACCTTTGAAATCGTGCATATTACGTCCCCAGTTGGTCTACTTTCGGATCCCCTACATTACCCGTCAAGGAACAACCCAGGTGTCAAAAATCGACCAACAATGGATCAGTCAGCATAACAGAGCCCGCCTTTACTGCACTGTTGGAATTTGTCAATCCTTTCAACTGAAGAATGCTGCGAGATAAAAATGGTTGTTTGAAAACCAACAGTGTACACGTAAGAGAATTCTAAGCGATATCTACCCTGTGACTGTCTACCAATAGGTAGACCTTGAAGAGAGTGATGTTTTGAAGGTCCACCTCCTCCCGCTTGTACAGGATCGGAAACGTTCTGGACACGCCTACGTTCTTCCAAGTGTAGGCAGCCAGATTGTTGGAGCCCTCTGAAAAGGTAATTCACAGAAGATATACATGAAAACTTGTCTGACGGCAAAGCAAGGTAAAGTTAAAAAGTGTTTGGTTTCTGTGGACTGGACAATCTTATTTTCTCGTTTGTTTTAAGGTTTTAGTTTGTCAGAAGTGGCCAATCCCGAGGCTGGTTCATACTTCAGGTGTAGGTGTACACCAAAGGGATGCAAATTTGACTTCACAAAACATAAAGCGCAGCGAGATCAGCTTGAGTTGAAATGTGTTCATTCTTGGTCCGCTTTTGAAAATTCGCTGGATGAATGTTTGATCTGATGTTCCAATTCCGCATTCGTGATCGCTTTCTACCCTCCGAGGCACTTCTAAGGAGTGTCATGATTTGCTATGACGGCCAGTCTTCGTAGCACAAGCTAAGTCAGGGTACTACGCACAGTCTACCCCACTGACCACACAGTCCGGCCATGTGTTCAGCATGTACAAAACTGATGAGGACCAACACAGTGCATAGGTTCGAATTTGAGTACACGCTCCCATGCGAGACAGCCAGCGATATTCAATTCAGGGGACTTGGGTTGACATTTACACGTCCTCTGACGTGCACACTTAGGTTAATGGTATTGGGCCACACTCACCGCAGGGTTTGACGACGGTGGCCTCCGATTTCAGTGTGGTCTTCGGCCCTCCCTTGATGGAACATCGGACATGATAATACCTGCAGGTTTACATAACAGCGTGACCAACTAATGTGATTGCACGTGACCTGTTCTTGTGAATGGAAAGTTCTTGGTAAAGCCCTCTGATTTTAAGGTACGTGATCACATCCGCGGACCATCAAATGCCAGTATTAAGCTTCCCCACAAGCGCATAAATTTTTCACGTCTAAATATCTACATGTTACAATGTCACATAATGCAATGCACAATAAAATTACACTGGCGACGGTGGAAAAATCAAACAGGAAGTAAAATTTCATAGTCATGCATTTACAAGTAATTACGATGCCATTTAATTGCGGGCATGTACATGTGCGCAAAGGTCTTGACTAAACAGCCCAGCTGAGCAGCTACTGTGCACAGTAGCGTGCATTCAGGCTTGACCGAACATCAACTCCTGCATGGTTCTGGAGGTATCGGTCAGGCACGTGCTAAGCCCTTGTCACAAGTGAAAGAGATGTGTGTATTTAACAAAAAGCATCTTTCACTTTCATCTGATGATACTATTTTAGGGCCTTTTTGTATCACATGGATCTGGATTTTGATCAGTGATCCCAAAGGTGGTTGGCTCAATCTCTTTGGTGGGTTCTGATGTCAGTGAACCAACGTCCGATCACTGATCGTGATCCGGATCTGCCTGGCACAAACCGGCCCAAAATGTAACCCAATACATGTACACTTCTTGTAGCTTACCCTCTTTGGAACAAGTCGATGTTGTGGAACTTTGTGAGTTCAACGGCAAATTCTAGCGCAGCCTGGATATCGGCCATCTTGACTAGCTCTGCAGTGCTAAAATGGCAACAGAAATCATCCGCAGTAAGGGACGTTACATCATGCACAAAGGATTACACATGCCCCTCTCAGGGGGCGTTTTCATGACCCCTAATGAGAGACACACTTGTGATGTCAAAGCAACAACCAGGAACATGTTAAGAAAGTGGTCCACAAAAAAGCAGAGCTGCCGACGGTTATGCGAGACAAGGTGCAAGGCAGATGGCATCACTCACAAATGTCATTTTCACTCGTCATTCTCCCAGATTTTCAATGCTACCAATTTCTTTCCACATTCTAGAAAACGATGAGTTGGGCAACCCATGTAATTCCATTTGAATCAGCCACGAACCAACTTTAAACTCTGGCTCTTGTTTGAAACATACAAGTCGGACAGGCGTACATGTCCAAACCGAAGTCTCCAAACTGCTCAATCAATGACCGGGACAGAAACATGTTTCTGGTCAGGGTCACATAAACATGCCCCAGTACAAACACTGGTTTGTCAGTGTACATGTGTATACACAAACACGGCAAAGGAAGATTCATTGGTTTTCACATGTACTGTACATGATACGGAGCCAGAGTCTTTCCACTGAAGCTGGTGAAGGACAGAATTAGTCGAAAAAATGAGACAACACTGCAGCAATGCAGATTTATAGACTTAACAACTAGCACCTTACACAAAGGTAATATAATCAATTAGAACATGTATAATAGGCAAAGTTTGTCTGGTATTGCATGTATGCATACAAAGTAATATACTACTATTTGAACCGGTATAATTTTTTGAAAATATTTTATTATCCTAACTGCTAATGTTAGGTAACAGTGCCGTGGCATGTACATATACGTAAAGCACTTTGTAACTAGTTCACAGGGAATAGGACTGCTTTTAAATATGCAAATTGCCAATTGTTTACAGCTTTTGAAATTGAAAAAGCCTCATATCCCTGCTACTGGAGAAGGGCTTTCATGATAAATTGGCCTGTCTATCTTAAAGTCAGATCTTTCCTCAACACCAGGGGCCAAATTTTATGGGAATCAGAGGTAATGAAGTTCGCCAGACTGAGCGGAAGGAGGGGGGGATGTGTAACTACTCGTTAGTTACAAATTCTTCACAGTTTTGCCCTGGTGACAGAAACGACTTACCCAAAACAAACGACGAAAGGAAAGGCATCTCGTCCCACCCTACTCATGCCAAAACGCCTTTTGCAAGTTAGCTTGACCTAAATCTGGTATACTGAGTTATTCAAATTCCTGTGAACATAACAACTTGAATTCTCCATGCTAAAACCACTGTTGCTGTGCCTCGCGATTCAAGGCAAGCTTTTGCTTAGTTACATAAGAGATGCCTTGCAAAAATACACTGTTCTCAATGGATAACAAGGGCACAAAGGAGCCAGTCCATTCCAGAGATGGTGGTTGCTATGCAAAAGCTTACCCGAATTACGAGGTACAGTGTCTTTAGTCTGGGGAATTAAAATTGTTATGTTTATGTGCAATCAGATAACTCAGTGTACCAGATTTTATTCAAATTTAACTCCCAAATGGCTTATTGTCCCTCTGTCCCGCCCCTGGTGACCCACCCTGTGATAATACACCCACATGTACTGTACACTAGGCTTCGGATAACAACGGGTAACGATTTGAATTAATGCCCGACTTTTCACGAATGCTATTCAAGTGTGCAAAACTCACCCCCCCTGCCGACTTCCATGGTCGACCCTTTTCAGTTTTTTGTTCAAACTGCCTGGTTTTTAATATACATTTACATGTACCAAGTGCATATCCACAGGACCCAACATCTCACATATATGTACAGTGTACGCATATATGGATGACAATTCAGTTATTTCAATCATTAAAATGTATGAGTGCTATACACACGCCATCAACTGGGGTCCAAACATTACACCACAGCACTGCAGAACAAGATGTACACTGTACATGTACACTGTACATGTGTATGGGTATATTATGTGTGTCCACACACATCCAGTGATGTCTGGTATCCAAACAGCTGCTAGCTGTGATTAACAGGATTATGCAAATTTTTCATTCAATCGATCTGATAAAGACTGTTAAAGTGAGCAGTGCAGTTGAGTCCCCATGGTAACAATCGGTGGAACTGGTGAAAGATTGTGCATAAATTATGACTACATTAAGATCCTAAAATAAAAAACAGCAAAACATGTTTTTTTTTTTACAATAAAAGCAATTTAATTTAGGATTGTGGCCATGGTACCAGATTGACTTTTAAATAAATTCTCAACTCATAATAGACAGATCACTTTCAAACACGATCTACAAAAAATTATGTCCACCATTTGCAATCTATGAATAATTATAATCGTTAACGAAGCAGTTGCCATGGTAACACATCCAGAGATCTTGGTTGAAAGTTCATACATGTAGTTGAATAAATATCTCCCGGCCGTTCACGTAACTTAGTTTTCTTTACCATTGAAATAGATATCAGCTCCATGTAAGGACATGTTCTTGTCTTGTAAGGAGGTTTCAATGAACCCAAAATTCTTACAGAGTGCAAAAAAATTAACAGAAATGTGATCCATCCTGGCAATATGATGTATTTGCCAGAGGTGCTTCTGAATACATGGCATAATTCGGTACAAGCCTAATCTCACACCATAAAACAGGGGTGTCAGTGGCCACTCAAAATTAAAGTTAAAAACAGCGGGTAATTTGTAAAAACTTCCCATACTTTAGTACACAACAGGTGTACAAAAAGCAGAAATTCAGGGTCGACATCTAAACAAAAAAGGAGAAATCAGCTAAGAAGCTGAATTCTCACACTTCTGATAAAACCCAATGGAACCTATGGTTTAAATATTATTCTTTTCCCAAAAGCAATGCCTCTATCTATATGTACACTGTACGTGTACACTTGGATACCAATTTAATATGTGGAAAGATGGAGCTCTGATCATATCTGAGAAATGTAACACATATTGCGGTAGGGCTTCCACCAACAAATAACTTACTTCATTCACTGGTTCACTGTAAGTGGGCAACCTTTTTTAAAATGACATTACTGCAAGAGTGTTCCTGAACTACTCACATCGCACACAAATAATCCAGACTTTATTTCTGAGCAAAAAATGAAGTTAAAATGTCTGTTCAGAGAGTCAGGCTTGAGACTGGAGGAAACTTGAAAATCCACAAAAGAATCACCAGAAATTCTGAGGGCCCTGAAGCAGCATACAGGTCCTACGGTATACATTTGAGTTTGCCTAAAGCCACTCATTCGCATGTATACCCGTACCTTGTGTTTTTTATCAACTGTTATATAAAATATTCACAGAGGAAAGCTTTAAATATTTAATCTCATCATTGGAGAGTAGACTCACTCACCATGCTGACAGCTAATGATGTCTTTAGATTTGGTTTTGTTAATTCAAACGTACAGCAGATCAGTGAAGGCGTAGACCTGCACCACATAAAAATATGATATGGTCTAGGAAAAGCCTTAAAATGTCGTCAAACTTGTTTGGGGGAAATAATGGCAAAGTAGGTGTTGTCTCTGAATTATTTTCTGACAATTTGAGATATTTTACCATTTCAATTGTGAATATTCAAATAATTTTTCGATGCAATTACAATTTTAATTTGCAGTCTCTCAGTCTATCAATGTCGCGTAATCAGGAAATTTTTACTCTTACTTTAACCACTTGCTGCCGCGTGATTTGAAAAATGCAGTGCACATAATCGGGACTTTTTCTAGATTGTCAGTTTCCAAATTCTTCAAAAATTCATCATTTCAATTAATGGACGTTTCCACCCACACGAATTACTGTCTGGTGGCCACTTTAGTCTGACAGACAAAATCTATTGACGCCTGAGTATTTCAGCCAGGCCTGCAGCCTTGTAAAAAGAGCCCAGATTGTGCGGTGTTATGTAACTTTCTTTTGTTCATGAACCTGGCATAGTGCACTGCTGACCTCTTTTCAATAGGGGCCAAATTAGCGTGCAGTGGTGCTGTGTGGCTCATCGCTGCGGTGGTGGAGCACTTTTGTCCCTGGTGGCAATCCGCTCGCACTAAATGCCCCAAACCGTGGTATACAGTTTCAAAACAAGGCTGGATTATCTCCACTAATGAGAGTGAAAAAATGTTGGTAATGCCCAGCAGCTCAGTCTTTTGTTCAAAGTACGGTCTTTTGTTACAAGGCCCAGTTCCCTTTGTCCGATTTCGGAAACCCCGGCCACGCATACAAACACACAGTGCCCGAAACGGTTAAAACTTGATTTTTAAAATGAGGTCGGCCAGTTGATACTCATATCACTTCCCCAAAGTATATGTATAACTCAAGTTATAGACAACTTACAGTCATTTGCAAAAGTTTGGGACCACCCATACAAAATGCATTAATCTGAAGAAAACCAAACTTAAACAAATCAATCATGGCAACCTACATGTATGTTCATTTTCAATGCATAACCTTAGTATCTTGGCTGCATGATTTGAAATGTTAACAGTCTAAGGTGCCCTCCTTTATTTCCGACTTCTTAGACTGCCTTTTTTCACCCGTACTGTCTCACAGACAAAATGTCACACAAGACCTGCCTTTGCAAAAAATTTCATTCAAATGGGTATATAGCACTACACTGATGTTATGCACTATTGTAAAAACATGTTAAGTAATCAGTCAATGACACAATTAATGTAGGCCCAGTGACAGAAATACCAATCAAATTCCAGGTGGTCTTAAACTTTTGCAAATGACTGTAGAATGGTGATTAAAAGGTTTTGAAAACAGTGCAGTGCACCTGTACCGGCACATTAAGACAACAAATTTCACTATTAAAGTGAAGGGTTTCCCAGATTACATCACAAACACGGGTGGATGCAGGGATTCTTCTCTGATTATAGAAATTCTTGTGTAAAACCTCAAGACAGCTTGGGAAACCCACCCTCCCCCTCCCTGCAAGTCTTTAATTTCATTGTAATAACATCATTTATCGCAATGGAGGGCTGTGCACTATGGAGGCTTGTTTAAAGCAGATTCAAATGAAAAGTGACAGAAAGTTTTCATTAAACAATTTAAAAGGAATAGAAATTTTCGACTGGGCTGTAAATCTTGCTAAATCATGGCTGGAGATACTCCTAGACGTGAGAAGCTATCATATTGATCATAATGTACATTTGTTTGTGTTATTGCAACTAATTTTGTATATGGTTTGCTCATTAAGAATCTGTCAGTTGGTACAACCGAATATTTGGATATTCGATAAAATTGAACATTGAATATTCGACTGGTGAATATTCGCAATGACTCGGAGCTATCGCCATGAGCCTTTTGGGAGATTTCTCGACTAAATTGCCTTGAAGTCATTTTGAAACCAATTTAAGGAAAATGACATGCCATTCTCCTTTATGTATACTCCTTTTTCCAAGACAGGGCAGCCAGCATGTGTCAAAATGCAGTGAGCTGACAACCACGGATGGGTGCGTTAAAATGAAAAACTCCCTTCTGAATGAAATGAAAGTTCAGAGAGCAGTATTCCTTGAGGTGTTTTGCATACACGTCTACGTGGACGTGCCAAGTTTCAAAGCACTGAGCCACTTCAATTTGGTTTCTACATTGAGCATGTCATGCGGCAGGTCATCTGAGAAGATCACATGAAAATACAATGCTCAAGGTTGGCCATCTCAGCAGGGCCATATCAACTCGGGAGCACTGAACATGTTAGAGTTGGGGTTTTGTTGAGGGCTTTGTTCTCAAATGACCTTGCTTTTTGAAACTTTATGCTAAATTGGCTTATTGGTCATGTGACTGCCACGATCGGGGGGGGGGGGGAAGAGGACAGAGAAAGAGGAGTACATGGATATTATGCAGCCCCTCCCTTCACTGGTAGCCTTTCAGTACATGTGTGTAACAGATGCTCGCTTATAGACGAGCGTCTATGATATCGGCGCACTTTGCTGATTATGCAAAGAAAAGTACCAGCACTATATCTGTACATTTGACATCCAAACTTTGACCAATCAGCAGTAATGCATTAAATGGACCTCCTGCGACAAACTCGACGGCACTGTGGTAAGCATATGGCATATTCAACATTCTGGTTCAGACTGTGTACATGTACTGTAGTTAGGGCTGGAGTCAGGACATCATTTGAGAGTGTATACACGTACGAGCCATGCAACTGCAGAACCAGGGTCTCCAAAACTCAAGAACCGCCCATTTCAAGGACCCGTGAATCACTCACAGACACGCTTTTCTGTGGAGGCTGCCGAAACCTAACCCGGTCATCTGATGTGGACATGTGGTCAGCATGGCAGGGTGATCCTCTGACATGAACCGACCAATCAAGGGCCTTCGACAGATTTCTGCTTGAAACGACACCATAATTCTGAAGGTGTTTGGCTGTTGGAGGATCAAGATTTGTGTGGGCCTAATGCTGCAGTACTGGTGGGTGTTAACAGGTACATGTACATTTACATATGTACAGGTGGCGGTCAATATACCGCACAGGTGTACCATTGCCGTTGAGGGAAAACTGCACATCATATTCGTGGAGGTGAAAACTCCAATCATGCCAGAGAATTCCACACTAATGCCACCCATTTTTCCCTGCAGTGACCAAGGGTTTTAGCCATCTGAATGCAATAACATGTCCCAAAAAGTCAAATTTATAAGCACTAGCAGGGAAAATTTTGAGGTACAGTATTCAATTAGAAAATACTTAAAAAGTTTTCAGACGAGCCCCATGGGTGTCCTGTATGGGTGTCAAGTGACGTCCATATAATCTTTCCCATTCTGATGAAATTACATGGTATGTAACATAAGCTGGCCTGGCTTCAGCAACAAGGCTGCATGCAAACTGATCTACATGTAGCCTACAAAGTACAACATGTTAATTCTTCATACATGTACATGTAAGAACCCTACGGGATATAGCTTATTGTTAGCCTACATAAATTCGTACGTACACACTGTTCAGCCGAAGCACAGGGTTTTCATCATTTATAACAGCACTATCTTGGATTCAGTTCAGTCACGTCGACTGACGATCGATGGTGATGGCAAGTCCCTGCCTGCTGAGCAGAGTGAATTCTTCAGGGCCTATACCGCGTTCAAAATGTGTGAACAGTACTTTCTCGTTAATCACTCCATTTGTGTGCGTATGCAAATCATCCATAAGCCTCACAAACACTACCACTCGTAGTTAATAACAAATACCTTGCGATGAGACATCAAATCCGCCGCAAATTAGCCCTCAGATTTCTAATTATGCACACATAATAACATGGGTGACGTTCGCGTTTGCGTGTCAACTTGCTTGATAGAAGTGGGCCCTGAACCTTTTCTAACACTAGGGGGCGCACATTACCCGCTATGGTTGTTGGCCGGCGCGGCCTGCGGGCTTATAAATAGGCTAAATGTCACAGGCAACAGTGATTAATACCGGAAGTTCAAAAACCAGGAAAAATAATCACGAGTTTCTTAGGCGTTCAAGACGCATATCATGTTAAAGCCCAGTTTATGATTTTTCATTTTCTTTTCAAAGTTCCATTCACTGACTGATAACTATTGAAGATATTTTTTTGAAGATATGGGAAAGTCACCCTTTAAAAGCAGTCGTGAAGCCGCTCGCCATTTTGAAATATCGATGCCCACTTCTCGAAAAATCACTGTTTTCAGGCACCGATTTCTTCCAAATCTCACTCAGACAAAGGCCGGCATTAGTTTTGCTTCTCAAAACCTGTCTCTTCTACAAATCTTCAAGTTCATGGGCCACAAACTGCTTCAAGCAATTTTCGGCCTATTTACCGACATGTTTGGTACCCTAGCAATAGAAACATCATTTTTTGCACTCCCCGCCCTTGGACGCACTGTGAAGCGTACATGATCGCACCTGGAGTTCGTGCAATAGTTGGGTAAGGGACCTTAATGTGCCGTGGGAACTAAATGATTAGAAGATCCCATATACATAGATGCTAAAAAAAAACTTTGTCTGTAACACAGAGACCCAGAATTATCATCAAATACATGTATTAGGGCCTATGTGACAAATAGCTATACACCGGCGTTTGTGCTATGTTTCATTTTTCACATTTATGATTTTGTCCACAGTACACTTTACGGTTCCTGGTTTGAAAGAAATTCAAAATTGGTTACTTTGTTAATTTCACTAATCTTTTGAAACCTGACGCACTTTTCCTTCGATTTTTTCTTGTTGACCGAGATTCTTGTTTACAAAGGTCTGTTGGTTAACATCAACAGCATCATTTGAATTGTATGGGTTTTCATCATGGCAAATTGAAGTCTTTGGAGTACATGTATGTTTGAACCCTTCTCTCGTGCAACTCTGGCGGAGGCTCGACTCGGACCTCAGTAGTTCTCGTGGCGTTTCGCACTCGCTCGAGCCGAGACGATAAGCCCCGTCCTTGGCTGACGGAGGCTTAAAATTACACACGACTTTACTGTAGAAAAGAGCTGCTGCCACAGAAAGGCGTTCTCAGAGGTTCATTATTTTCAGCAGTTAAGTTCAAAGACATTTTGCAAATTTAACACCGCACGACCTCTTGACCTCTCGTTCGGTTGCTATGGCTCGGTCGCGAGTAGGGACCAGGTCGTTTTATGACTACGTGTACAGACTGAATCTGCGTCTATATGCCTATACTAGTGAGATGAAAGCGAGGGTAGACGTGGGGGAAAGTCATCGCACTCCCCCAATGGTAATGATTATCATCCTGGTGAATAACTACTCCGTTTCGCAGGCTACCAGCATCACCAACTTGCTGAGTAACATATACCTTAGACTGCCGTACATCGCTGTACACCAGTTGAGGGTAGGGTAAATTACAGCTTTACACTGAATTATTTTGATGTGTATTTTTTCTCCTTTTTATGTCTCAGGAGTTGTTGCCTGCTTTCACTGAAAAAAAAATGCAGGCAGGGTGAACAGACAGTAAGAGGATATGACGATTGCCACTTATTCCCACTTCATTTTGCTGCTCTGTCGTTTGTGGCATTTTGTGGTTGTGTTTTGTCATATATTTTTAGAGGACTGTCGAAGGATTGTCTCTCTACCACGCAATTTGTTCGTTTTCATAGTAAACCACCCCATTCAATTATTTTTGAATCCAAATTGGAACACTGGGTCCTCATCGGGCAAATTCTCAGCCCATTGAGTTCTTTCCCAAAACGATTCACCGAACCATGTGGAGGAAGGAACATTGAATGTTGAAATTCTGAGGTTTTGAATTTTAGTATTTGAATACTTGAGCAGCAATATGATGGCGTGGCCGGGTACTGTGAAGGCTGACGTGCGCACAATTATTAAGGCGTACGTTTCAATAACTCAGTGTCACTCTTGCTCTGCTCGTGTTCACACTGCGAAGTCCGGTCATGTCAGACATCATGAATCCGCTGTACACTGTATTACGGAATCCCCATCTTAATGGGTTACGTTTAAGTCAATAAGTTGTCAGCATGAAACCCTGGCGAGGGCCTTATCTCATTAATTTAGCAAACAGGCTGCAACGCGTGTATAAAGCACAATATAAACAAGTAACAGGGAATCACTTTTTAAGGTTTATATATTACATTTATTCATTTATAAAGTAACAACATCAACGTGGGTTAAAATTGACCTAGAGTATAGGTGTCCCGTTAATTGGGCCTGAATGTTTTTGCTTTCAAACTTGACCCTCTTCTTGGTCCGTTTGACCCTTTTCTGGTTCATTTTATCCCCCCAAAAGGGGCATCTTTTGACCCAGATATGGGTCGAGCTCAACCGGGGACACCGATTCCGGGTCAGTCTAACCCGGGTGTTTTGATCTATGCCGATTCAGATTATGCTGAACAAATCAACGCGGGTCCAGGATATTTCTGCAGCTCTGTGCCCGGCACATGATGCGTGCTAAACTTACTTGCACTGATAAAACAATAGCTGACAGCCAGTTCTTTACATTTTCTTAAATCTTGGGATAGGTGTGTCATTCCCAGCGCCCCCCCCCCCCGGGGGGGAAGATCGGGACAACAAACCACATAAAGCCCTATACACGTCATCTTAACTCTCCAGCACCATGCACTCCCCCTGCACTTAGCAAATTTCCGCTGATGGAAAAAGGTTTTGTCGGTCCAGTTTTCTATACGCAAACTGTCACAAGTTTGTTCTAATCATAAAGCAGTTGAAATGTAACGAAGGCGATGGGTGCATTAAGCCTCGTGGATCGATACGCCTGCACCAGGCGAGATTATTTCATCGGATCATTGGGTCTTTAATGGGACTGAGTTCCATGCAATTTCACTGATTGGCTGTGTTCGCGCGTTTTCCTCTTTATGCTCGCGGGTGCAGGAAAATGTTGCAGGTGCGTTTAATGAGGCCGGTTCATACTTCAGCCGAACGAAAAGTGGGTGCTAATTGGACGTCATCAAACACGCATTTTACAACAAAACTTGTTTGAGATGAAATGTATTCAAGTTTTGATCTATACAGTCAAAATGATGGCTCTCTGTTCGGTTTCGCGCCAGAATCAATCGTGTATTACATCGCACTAACAAGCAGCAAGTCGTGGGTTTGAATCCCACTCCAGCAAACTTGTGTTGTTTTATCGCGACTCTCGCACCATACTGAGAATACGGTACAAATATAAAAATAACCGATGTAAGGGCAAAACATAATAGGCATTTCCTCGACCCAAACCCAAACTGATAACCTCGATAGGCCAAGTGCTCACTATTAACAGCCCACTTTTCTACTTGGCATTCGGGTTTCTCTTTCAGTGAAACTTAAAATGTTAACGTTCAATTTTCATGTAATATTTTATCTATGGTCTACTTGGTTCTGCAGAGATCCAGTTTGACCGCTACTCCGCAATGTTAGCCTAAAAAAAAGGTGGATCCAGAATTTCTTCGGGCGAAGGGGGGTGTGTGGCCATTGTTGAAGCCACGTATATAAGACACCTGTAGGGTCTATGCTTTTGGGGGGTGGGACCTTTAGACGTAAGCCGCAAAAAATTGCAATGAGCGGGGTACCCACATGCATTTGCGCTTGCTAAAGTTGGAGAAATTGCACGATTTTTAAGTAAGTTTGTAGAGGGTACGAAAACGCACCTTCTTTTTTTTCAGGCGAATAAATGTTGAAGCTCACTTCAGTAGCCACAGAATACATGGTACGCTGACTGAAAATCTAAAATTGTTTTACTTTCTCACACCTTAATACAATGCTTGATGGAAGAATACACTTTTGGGGTCTGATGTACGGTACACTCGCTCAGCAGAGACGAGCTAGTGCCCTCCATCATGGAGGAAGGTTATTTTGTTAATGTGAAGGAGGTACTTGCGTCGCCAAACTTAGTCGGTAGCTTACCTCAACTCACGTGTGTACTTTCTGTACGCGCATGCATGTGGCTGAGTGGACACGTTGAAACGTGCTATCCACCCCGAGCGGGACCGAGAGAGGGCGCAATTTTCCTAACAACGGAGGCTCCTCAGGCGGAAACTGCACATTGCCGGCTCACCAACGGCGATATGCGTTGCGGTTGTATCGCTACCAACAGATTGGCACTCCCCACCAGCATTGTTCTATCAACCCTATGTGGGGGGTCCTTCTGGGAACCTTCTGGGAAGCAAATAAACTACATTATGGATCCCAAACAAATAAGCCAATCAAAGTGCTTCCACCAGGACGGAGGGGACCAGCGAAACACGTGGGTATAACGGGTTGACATGATCAAAACGCTCGAACGCTGCCTTTCAGTTGCTCAGCTAATTGGTGCTTGTCTCCTCTTAGATAAATAAAAGGCATTATGTGGTGATGTCACTCACTGTGTTTACTGTGCGCTGGACTCAATCAAGGAACCTTTATAGCAGCCAAGCATTAACTGCTTTTATCTTCTGTGGCCGTTTGCCTGGTGCCGGCAGCTGGTCAGTTCGACATGGGGGTATCTGGCAACAAGCATCTCATTCCGAATGATCCTTGAAATTCCACAAGTCCGATGCTAATCTGTGCTCAGAACCGATAAAATCACTCCATTGCTGATTTTAGCTCTCTTAAATAAAGTGAACATTTTACACACGTATATGAGAACACGATAATGTTTTTGGACAACCGGGAAATGTTGCCCACAACTGAATTTGATAATGCCACGGTGGAGGAGTCAGTCGTAGCTAGGTCGAATCCACCTGTGGTGGACGCAGTTTACACGGCCATTGCCTGCCTCGCTTTACTCGGTAATGGTATGGTTATCGCCGTCATGCTGGTCAGACGTAAGGTGTTCAGTTCCTTCACAAATCGTCTGATCCTGCACCAGTCAGTCGTAGACTCGGTGGCTGGGGTCATGTTCTTCCTGCACCAGGTAGTCAAGAAGCCCAACATCCCTCTGTCGGAGGAGGGAAACTTCTGGGACCAGTTGCTGTGCCGTCTCGTGGAGACGGACATCCTGCTGTGGTGGGCCAACGTGGCGTCCACGTATAACCTGGTCATCATCGCGCTGGAGCGGTTCGCGGCCACCTGCCACCCTGTGAGGCACCGTCGCACCTGCTCCGGCTCCAGGTTGAGGTACGCCGTGGGCGCGTCCTGGGCGATGGGCTTCATCTACACCTTGCCATCGGCAGCGCTGAGAGAACCACATCAGGGCCGATGCATCAGCGTCCCCCACGGAACAGTGTATCAAGTTGGGGTTGTAACACACAACACCATTGATTACATTCTCCCCGTGAGCGTAATGGCCTACACGTACGCGAGAATACTAAAGGTTCTGACCAAAAAACTGACCAACCAACGGAACGGCTGCCACTTGAGTAGAGCCAAGAAAAACGTCATAAAAACGTCACTGCTGACGGGCGTCATGTTCCTCGTGTGCTGGACGCCGACGGCGGCATTTTCCATCTACGCGGTGTTCATTAACAGATTTTGGGTACTTCACCCAACCTTCTGGATCGTCTACAGACTGGTCGCCGGTCTTGTTGCCTGTAACGCGTGCGTCAACCCGATCATTTACTCCTTCATGTACAGACATTTTCGAACCCACCTGAAGGACGTTCTGCTGAAGAGATGGCACCGAAATCGAGTACGTGGCGCAGAATCCGTTCAGATAGCGACAGCTTCTTGATATAAACAGTTTAGCAGCATATTGCAAGAATTTGCAGCATTTCGTTTGGTGGAATTACAATCTTCGTCTTTGGTATTCAGTTTTCACTTCAAGTTTGGGCTTAAAAGTTCAGACAAAATTAAAGTTGTTTTTCTCATTGCTACCTGGCAAAGCGTGGATCCATGTCGTCCGTTGCAGAATGTGTTGGTTGTGTGCCAATAACACTTTTCTTCAAAATGTGAGATTCGTTTTGAGTCAGATTTTATGAAATTTTCATTTATTTCACTGCTTATAATCCACTCCAACAATCCAGTTTATGCCTAAAAACTCCACTGACGTAATAAAAATATGTGGCAGGGTCAAAATCCCCACAAAAAGTTACAACTCACTCAAATAAAAACATATATGCCTTATGCATATATATATATATGCATGTCAAGTGCAATGACATTTGTCACAGAGGTATCTCTCACAACTTTCTAGATGTACAAATAACTTTCATTCTTAGTTAAATAGCTAATGGTCTATAGAGTTATACAATTATGAGAAATAAAAATTACAAATTATTAAAAAAAGAGCTTGATGGTTAATCAGTTTAATACAAACGAATTATTTAATTCTAATGGTATGCCTAAGCTTGCATGTTTTTCGTTCAAGGGATATTTGTCCTGTGATTTTAGGCTTGAAAATTTAGTTCCATCAGGCTGTAAGCAAAGGTTATCGCCTTTTGCACACCAGTAACTCAAGAGGGGGCTATGTGTGATTTGTCCCTTATTAGCAAACAATCTTTATAATAGGCATATTCCAAATCTAGGCTGTATCTCAGGTTTAGCTCCATGTATCTAAAAGTCCAGAAATAGTTCTAAACTGTTACACTGTTTTTCAAGTGAAGGAAAATACTTCAAAATTGGTTTCATATGAGATTGAGGCTGAAAGCTCAAGCCTCACCGTACTCTGATAATATTCGGTTAGTGGCTTGGGGTCACACTGACAAGAACTTTTCTGAATCTAGTCAGCAGAAGTACATGTACCGCTTGTCATAGCGACAAGATTTTGACAAGATAATCGTAGGCTCGTTATGTCAGAGGACAAGAAAATTTCACGGTCGATGTGACATGCTTGGCCATGATGACAAAAAATAGCCCTTGTCCGGTCACATTAACACGAAACTGACTACATTCAATTAATGTTTGAGCTGTTATACTGTGGGGCCAACTGCCGTATCGATTCGAACCCACGACCCGACCTCGACGGTTGAGTGGTAAGACGGATGCGTAAGCTGGAGGTCGCTGGTTCGAATCCCATCGAGGCAAGCGTTTTATTTTAACAAGCTCGTAATCAGTACTCTGACTACTTTGTCGATTTTTAACTGTCATTACTCAGTCTTTCATTGTAACCTGATTTCAAGTCGTTCTTGTATATTTACATATTCTGCAATAACTCTTGACTGTTCTGACTTGGTTCAGTTATTTCACAGTGCCCGGCGTATGAGGTCGATGGTCGTCGAGATCTTTATATTTCGTCTTGTCGTACTTTGAAGCGTCCACGTGATCCTGTAGACAAAAATACAGTACATATATATCTTGATTAAATAAATTCTTTATTGTGTGTAATCTCTATCCGGTTCGTAAGTGACTTCGTCACAAAGGCGGACGCGCCTCTATTTGCAGGCTCCCATTGGACGATCGCTGAAGTTGCGCGTTAACTTCCGATTCCATGTAAACGGCTATCAATGAATGTAAACTCTATGTGCAGTGCATGTGCAGTGGGCGTGGTTTAAACTGAAGTGACGTCACACTTACGAACCGGATAGAGGTTGTGCACGGCAGCCATCTTCCTGGTGTTTTTGTTCCATGGGGATACACGAGTAGACCTTTTGTGGATGTCGCCCACAAGAAACCACTAACAGGAAAGATGGCTGCCGTGCAAAACCTGTAGACCTTATTCACGTTGAGGCCATATTTGATCTTATTCCCCAAATCTGTTTTATATGTTGAAAACTGTTGACTAGGACGGCACCAGACTGGTTTTAATTTCCATGCGTTCCAAGCCTCCCGTTCAGTAATTTTCAAAATCTGGCAAGGTACGATTCTGTGTGTTCAATCATGAATTTGAAATTATTCATCAGAGTAGACAGATGCAAATTTATTATGAAATTTCATTTTATTGCTTTCAAATTCAATATGGCCGGCCCCGTGTATAAGGTATATTGCCGACATCCAGGTCAGCACTTTCAGTTGGGCCTGAACATAAAAGCATGCGCCGAGTACCAAAATAGGGCGTAGCTTGGGGCATCATTGCTGGGGGGGGGCGTTTTGGAGAGGCAGCACGTTTCCAAAGGGACCAGACCAAGAATGTGGAACTTTTTGGTACATCGAGTGTGACTTTCAGGGTATTTTGATTGGAGAATCAAAAAGTATCTGGCCAAATATCGGATGAATGTTTTGTGGGGAAGCACACGAGTCAGTAGGACATTTTGACTTGAAGCGAAAAACTTCGTCTAAAATCCAAGGACACGTGCACTTGTTCCAAGAACTTATTTGAAACCAATTAAGGGTTGCTTCAAGGCTCATTTTCATGCGCAAGACGAATTGAAGTGCTCCATATTACTTTCTGTACAAAGTGCAAGTCAAGGCTATTATAGCCTTAGGCAAAAGTTTAATTCTTGGGGACAAGTCTTGCTGAAAATTGTAGATTTTTTTGACTGATTGATAGTTAAGAAGCAGAAATCGGCATTTTGTTGGTAGTATCTGCTGATTTTAAGTGCTTTATATAACCATAATGACATATAAAACCTGGCGATTCTTATTTAGTTCTTGCTTGCTGTGACGGCAAACATTATTTGCCAACCGCCGGTCTCGGACGAATTTTCGACTATGTGAAAGCAAGTAATGTAGGAAGTGACGAGCGCAAAAGAACGGCGCGCTTGCTTTTCTGTTCAAGAACTTTAGCACATACCGTCTTGCCACTGGTCAGCAGTTTCTCCAAGTCGAGGCTGAGAGTTCGGAACGAGGGCCGCTTCTTGGGATTATCGTCCCAGCACGCTTGCATCACAGAGTACCTGGTGATAGAAAAAAAATCGTTCATCGGTGAAGAAACTCAACACGTAACCTTTGTAGTATATTAAAACTTTATAGGCTAAGTATTCATCGCATCGTCTGTTCAACTAAACGAGATCAAAGGAAGGACACATACAGTGCAGGCAGTGGGTTGTGGGCACAAATGGTACGGACTGCACTTAAATGATTTTCATCCAAATGAGCACAAAATTCCGGCTGGGGGTAAATGTGATGCAAAGCAGCTAAAATGAACGACGTCAATGAGCCTTTGCAGTTTTAAACCAATCACTGGACTGTTATCGTGAGTTTTTTTCCCTCAAAGAGTGGCCTATAAAACGTGTAAAATCCAGAGATTTGCTGGACGATCACCCACAGTTCCGGGGAGCAGTGTTCGGGTCTCTCCATGCGGTAGCCGACTTTCAGCCTGTTACTGACCTCGCGGGCTGACATTCCAGGATAAGGAGTTGAACCTATCGATATCCAATCAATACAGGTTTTTAAGGTGGTTGAAGTGTCTTTAAGGACTACATTCGTTTACATTCTCATGTAATTTCTACACTTTAATAGAAAATTCTCACCAAGTGAAAAGTGTGAAAACAATTGAATTTGAAAAATGACCAAGTGTGGCGCATAACTTTGACCAAATAGAATTTGTGTAACATTTAATGGTGAGAGATGTCCTTTTATGTTTGAAACAATAACATAGCTCTTTTCAACATTTAAATAATCCACTCAGTTTGACAGAGTTCTGTTATGTTTGCTTTAGAAGCAACTTTTTTTCAAAAGGAATTATATTTGCCACACAGTACTGTTTACAAAACTCAATTCACTGCGGAAATCAACTAGCCAACTCTATTCAATTGTCCATACTGATTACAAAACGAAAATTTTAGTGTAGATGAATGGTCAACGCGATATACAAAATAACTGAAATTTACGTGCAGTCATGTACATGTATAATTTTTTTGACAAATGAACACTCGAATGTAAACACAGAAAGTATGTTGCGTTTGGTTTTAAAGCGACAGTTTTCTTGTCTTTAAGATTTAGTTGTGTCAAAAGTAAAAACTCGTACATGTATCGATTTTAGTTTCAATTAGTCAGAATTAACAATTACCATATGTGACAATCTCCCACATCAATATGCCAAATGACCAGATATCGCTCATGGTCGTGTACACGCTTGCGCAGATGGACTCCGGGCTCATCCAACGAATACCTAGGCGACCCTGCAAAATTACCAAAATGAAAGTATGATGTATCATCGCAGCAATTGGCGTCATTGTCATCATCATCTGTGTCATTGTCCAAGTCATCGCATGTCAGTGTCATTTTTATCTTCACTTAACTACAGTCAAGAGGACATCCACTCACCTCGGCGACATTTTCCACGACATTACGGACTCGGGCAGCATTGGACACCTTGCACACCATCCTCTGCCCCAGCAAAATGTTCCTCGTGGTAAGATCACCGTGAACAATCTTTCACAAGGTGAAATCAAAAAGAAGCAGCTGTTTGGATTTGATAATAGTTTCGTGGGTCAAACAGCTTCACGCTCTTCATAGTCGCTACATCTCACTTGCAAACAGGAACATAAGATTTTATGCCACTTAAGGCTTATTTTGAAAATCGATTTCCCTTGCTCTATGGTTAAAAGCTTTTTTCTTTCCCTTCTTTTAGAAAATCTGTACATCGATTTTAATAATTCATTCACCTTCTGCCTGCTCAAGTACGCCATGCCCTTAGCAACCTGCATGGCAAAGGTCACCAGTTCCCCGGATGTCGGTGTTTTGCCACTGGGCGATTGTGGGCGGTTCTTCCTCAAATGATCCAGTAGACTGCCATGTGGAGCGTACTCAAAAACCATGCTCGCAGGATCTACAAAGACGATTTTTTAATGCATGAGCTTGCAGAAGGTTGAGGAAGGTTGAAAAGGAACTCAGATTTGCTGATTTTAACATCTAATTTGATCGATTTTACGACTCATAAAAGGTGTTTGTAACCCCATCCATTGATATGTCCCGCTTTGAGCTACTCGGGATCTGATGACTCGGTTCGGACTCGAACCCAAGATGGTTACTATATTCAGCGGGCGTGTCACCAATCGAGCCTTCAAAATGATTGATGTCGGCTTCCTTGTTTCCATCGAAACTAGATGGCCTAGTATTAAACGTTTGATCGGGGGAAGCCGAAATTAAAAAACTCACCATAGTAGGTACAGCAACCGAGTAAGTTGACCACATACGGGTGCTTCTGAAGTGACTTCATCACCTCCAGTTCCTTCATAAACGCCATCTTGGCCACGTTGCTGGTGGGCTCTGAATAGAAATGACAAACAAGGACATGCTTGTATTTATAACTTCAAACAATAATTAGTAAATCCTTAGGTAAAAACCTCATTCACGGAACTAAAGTTGGTTGATTGTCATTAAGCCAGTGTGCGCTACACACAAGGGTGGATCTGATGCACACTGCAGAAGGGGGTAAAATAAATTTGGGGGGGTGGGGAATAGTTGGAAGTGTTTATGTAATCCTGAAGATCCTTTCTGAGGGGTGAGACTACATTTTGGTTTTTTTTTTACATTCCTCCGGAAGCATGGGAAATGAAAACCCTTTTCTCTCTTATTGTTTTTCTAAAACGTTTGGGGGGGTAAGGCCCCGTTGTCCCTCCCAGAATCCTCCAGATGGCTCCTAACTCCGTCTGCCCCGCCCACACCGAACCCAAGATCGCTCGCGATACTCACGCTTCAGCTCCTTGACGGCCACCAGCGTCATCCCGTCCCGTCCGCTGATGTCCCAGGCCTTGCCGCGCCACACGGGCCCGTAGGTGCCCAGGGCCACGGTGGATACGAGCTGTAAGCTCTCCTTGGGCACCTCCCAGAAGTTCTCGCTGATCTCGTCCACCTCGGATTTCTGCCGCGAGACACGAAGCAGTGGGGAGTTGGTTTTTATATCCACAATGAATCAGTTCAGAGCTTATCTGTAAATTCTGCTCAGAGGACGGCTGATTCTATCAAACGAAATCCTACACACCAACACGGTAAACTAGTATTGAATAGTTAGACTGATTAAACCTTACTATGGAGAGCTTCCATGGCTGCCATCTTACTATGTGCTTTTGTTCAACAGAATGTGCACAAAGGAGGTTTCAATGTGGGACTGCCCAGTAAGGAGACTACTACACAAAGCCTCTATTCGTTGATAGATATACTGATAAAATTTGAGCTACGGTTGCCCGGCGGTTTTAGTGTGTGAGGTTACATTTGAATAAAAAAATTTTTTGCCGATGTGTACCGTTTTATCATAACTATATATAATTATGCAGATCTAGCTATAGACAAAATCAGCCTATCTGAAGTCGGCCTATTCACGGAGTGCAGTCATCAAAATGGTAAGTTCTTATTATCATTTCATCTGTATTAGGCAGCTTTCTTATGAACTGGGACACTGTAACCGTGAATACGACACTTGAAATATGGTCTTAAGAGATATGATGTGGGGCAAAACCAAAGAGCTTCAGCGTTTCTGTTGCAAATTCAAGGAAGACGTCTTGAGAGGAGTTTACCTCGCGCTTGAGAGTTGGCTGGTTTTGTGATCTTGGGGACACCGCTCCTTGGCCCTTTTTGGACGCAGCCTGCTCGAGAGTCTTGTAGCCTCCTTCCGCAGCCGGTTGAGCCACACCGCCCTTGGCCCCCTTCCCCGCCACCGCTTGCTCCATGGACATCGCCCCGCGCGGGGAGGTGGCGGGGTTCGCCCCTTGCTTGCCGCCCATGGCCTGCTGCACCGTGACCCCACCGCCAGCACCAGCAGGCGGGTTGGCCGCTGCCTTCCCGCCAGCCATGGCCTGCTGCGCAGTCAGCCCTCCTCCTCGGGGCGACACTGGCTGGGCTTGCCCGCCCGGCGTTCCTGATTTGCCGGACATCACTTGTTGGACGGTGACGCCTGCCGCTTGGCCTCTCTGCGGTTGGCCCGAGGGTTGCTGTTGGCCCTTGCCGGCAGTCGCCTGTGCCATTGTCATACCTCCTGCTGCTTTTAAAAGTAAAATTTTCAAAAAGTTCTGTTTAAAAATATCTTTCACAGTTCGGCATTGATTCACACATTTTGATCTTGATTCCACGAGGCCAGAATAGCGACGGACATCTGGGTTTTAAAACAGTATTTTTGATTTTTTTTTAACAAACTTCTTTTTGGAGTTATTTGACAAAAGCAACATGCATATTATCCCACGGACAGCTGTTGGCATAGCATGAAGTTGGTTGCTGCCTAGTCAATTAGGTGCTAAGCCGTCACCACCTGGAAACCAGTTACACCAAATACAGAATGGACAGCAGTTTGGTTGTCAACCTGCTTTCCCCAAGTACATAATCATTTACGTTGCTTAGCAAGCGTTTACGCTCACTGTAGCCGTGTGTAATTGGCCCAAACTGGTGGATAATGTTTACCGGCAGCTGGCGGCGGTTGCGCAAAGTGCTTCGTCCGGGCGCCCTTACCGCCCGCCATGGCGTCGTTAAACGACTTTGCTCCGCCCAGTGCGGCCCCAGTGGTCTGTGCCTGGCTCGGGGCCTTCTTCCCTTGCATTGCCTGCTCGAGAGAGGCTATCCCTCCGGTCGACGGCTTCCCCGAGCCTGCTTGAAAGAGAGAGAGACTGGCGGTCAGAATAACACAGGCCAAAGCACTTTAGGTTTTGGAGAGACGTTCAGTGCATGTATCAAGTTTTGATCAAGCCGCTATATTTTTTTCGTTGCAAACTTTTGCTCGTTGGGGAATTAGCTTGACAAAGACGATGGAGTCTTGTATTATATACAAACTTGGGAAGTCCTTATTTTTAAAGAACAAAAGACCTGGAATCGCCACTGGACCTATTTTAGTAACGACTGTCCGAATTTGTTAATTTTGTGGGGCGAGTTGCCACCGGTCCCCACTGGATACACCACCAGTAAGAGATTAGCCTAGAGACAAGTCTGAATCTTATGTCTTCAACTTTGTCCTAGATCTCGCTTGGGCAACTATGATGTATGTAGCCATAGCTGGGGTGGGCCATTTCGGCTGGAAACACGTTTCGTCTAACTCGTGTATTATTTGTGAGAATCAGAAAAGCCTTCAAAGATTCTGAGGATATTCAAATATTAAGTTGGCCCTGACATCAGGGGTCATTTGGTCCGGTCTCAGGTCCCCAAACCGACTGAGTAGTTCCGGCGTCGAGTTCAGAATGCTTCTTTCCTACCTGCGTTCTGCTTAGCCATCATTGCCTCACGCGCCAGAGCCGCCAGCGCCGCCTCGGTATTGCCGGCAGCCGCGGCACCGCCGGCCGCCCCCATCATCTGACCAAGACCGGCGAAACCGCCGTCCGCTCCCGCCGCCTTGCTGTGCTCCACCTGGCATCCCGCCATCTCCTGCAGTTGGGCGTCCAGCTGCACAGAGAGGGAACAAATGCTAACATTGTAGCCACGAGGAAGATGCCCTGGGTGACATGTTCACGTGGTCCAAATCCACGGAGCTTCTGAGCAGACAAAACTGATTAGTTAACTTAACTTAGTTAACTTAGTTAACTACAAGGACAGAATGCATGAAAGTTTGGCTTGTGAAATGTCCTTCTTGAGCAAGTTTTTCCTTGGCCTACCGGGTTTTTAAGCCGTCCTTAGTGTCAAATTCCTACCAACCAAACACTACCTAGAAGTCGGTCACAAGCACGTTCCATCGCATAACAGATCCGTCCCTTGGGGGCATGAGCTGAGTTTTGCCCACCTGTCCCCCAAAATCAGAACTGTTCTACAAAGGCAAATGTGTTAGCCCGACTGATAGGCACAAACTTGTCGAAATATATTCAGCCAACGCCCCCTCCAATAATGCCAACTCGCCACCGTGACAGCGGTGTACGTTGGGGGTGCCTTAGCGGCTGTTCTGTAACCTGGGTTCCAATTTGAGTATTAGTAAACTACATGTAGCAACACTATGAGAAAAATTTCTTTCACAAACAACTCCCCAAATTCAGTAAATTTCTGCTCATGGTAACAACAGCGGTTTCCAATATGAATTGAATATATCAATGACCAGTTCTACAGCAAAATTCCGGAAACTACAGTATACCTGTTTCAAGCCTGCCATCATCATGGGTGTATCGACTCTCAGGGAGGTATCCGGGCGGGTGCTCTCTGGTCTCGGAGTGCGGAGCATGGAGACTCGCTGTGGCTTGGTCGGCTGTCCCTTTTCGGCGGGCTTGGCAGACGGGACCGCCCCGTCTTTGGCTGGCGCGGCTGGCGGCTGCTCTTTCTGGACCGCGCCCTCGGCCGACACGGTGACGGTGATGTCCGGAGAGCTGGGCACGGTGGAGTCGCTGCTTCTCCGTGGGGGCTCGGCGGAGCCTGTGTTGGATCTGGCGATCCCGGGCCTGTCGGACGGAGTGGAGGCCCGGCGCCTGGCGCTCCCCGGGCGTGAGCCGGCGGTGCCTGGTCGGGAGGCGGCCGTGCCTGGTCGGGAGGCGGCCGTGCCTGGTCGGGAGGCGGCTGTTCCAGGTCGAGAATCAGCCGACCCAGGCCGGGAGATGGCACTACCAGGTCGAGAGGACATAGAGGAAAAGGCACGATCTTCCAGATCAAGCTGTGAACAAAATTATTCCCACACGCAAGCCTAATTAGTTACTCAAAGAAATATCCTAAATAGAAAAGAAACATTTTTATGTAAAATTGGAAGTCAAGAGTTCCATAAAGATTATTTTTTGAACTTTTGTTTCAATCAAGAAGAACCTTGTGAGGTATTCTTTGATTGATATCCTGACAAGGAAGATTAAGTAGATAAAGCCATTAATTTGACGGTTGCTAACAATTTCCATATTCCAAATTAATTTAATTAGTCTTCAACTCAAGGTAGCTTTTGAAAATTGCAACTCATTCTGATGAGACGAGTCACATTTGTTGAATACGGGTGTCTCCCAATAGCGCACCTCCAAGACTTTGCAACGCGTTGGCCAATCGCAATGAGTAAAATCTGTCAACTCAATGCGCGTTTGGAAAGGGTCGACAGATTTCGCGCGTTATGATTGGCCAACGCGTTGCAAACTCTTGGAGGCGCACTACTGTGAATCTTCCGTATTGTAAAGACTTTCAGAAGTTCTCCAGTCTGCTTAACTATTTTCACCTTGTAAACTACGTACAACATTTCAGTGTTAATCGATTCCGTTTTTGGTAACTCTTTCACACGGACACGTCTCTTCAGATTCTACATCGATCAGGGCAAGATGCATTGTACCAATTCAAAACATTTCCGTGTGCTCCATACAAAACATCCAAATCCTCAGGTGGACGGCGGGAGATTTCATGCTGACTTGACCATAACAGAAGCAAAGATGCAACAACTGTAGATATCAAATCACAAAATCTTAGATAAACTGAGCTTAGGCCTACCCCGTAGTCGAGCAGCGGAACTTTCTCCCCGAAGCGGCCGTTCTTCTTCAGTTTCGCCTTGAGCTGCTGGCGACGGAGTTTGGCATCTGCGCTCTTCTTGCCCTCCTGGAAAACAAATGGAGCGGCACGATGCCGATGGCAGTTCGTTGTTAGCTTTCTTTCACGGATCATGACAGGAATATCCAACTTAAGCATATTTGCAACAATATTCATGGCCCTGATCTTTATTTTTAGGGAAACAACCATGCAAAATTGGCTTGTGTAAACAAGAGATACACATTACACGTGGAAGTAGCGTCGTTGACAAAAGGTGCTTCCGTCTGGCTCAATCAAGCACTATGTGTTTTTTAATAAATCTGTTTTCTGGGTGACAATACAATTTTACTGATAGATGATGGAAATTTTGTATACACTGGTAAGTCCATTACACAAGTTTACATAATGAAAAAAGGCAAGACGTATTTGTAGGATTCCTCTTGCAACTTTCCAGGGTCGCCAAACACAGAATTCTTGATATTATGAAACAAAATCAGGACGCCAAGATATAAGCAGTTCCATGGTGGTATAACTGAATACTATGAATATGATAATATGTTATAATGATCTCGGAATGATATAATTCACTCGCTCAAGTAAAATCAGCTGAAATGCTGATGAATGGACGCTATCGTCCAGTTTGAATGATTTTATAGGTAACTTACAGCCTGCAACTTTACATTAGTTTTGTTTGGTTGATCTGATGAGTAATGAGCTAGTTCAGTATTCGAACAGCGCATGCTCAAAATGAAGCGCGTCTGAGGTCATTCGGACGCGCGTGCGAAGTTTGCTCCAATCAGCGTGACCTTTTGTGAACTCGCGCGCGCGCTGTGGTCCCGAATGACCTTTCTTTTTGCTGAAAGAGACTTTGGCTGCATCCGAATCTCTTGTCTAGACCTAGATCTAGGTCTTCACTCCATTTGAAATGCGTGGAGATGCGTAGACAATAGACCTAGCCGTAGCTCTGGAAGCCCGTTTCGGACACGGCCTTTGATTAAACTAAACACTTACCGGTATTATACTCATATCTGCGGCTTCTCTATACAATTTGGACTTCTCTCGTTCCTCCTAAAATGTTTCAAAGGGAATAACAGATGAAATCATAGGTGCACAAAATAAGGGCCACAGGGCTTGATGCTTAAATCTCAGGCAACGAGTGAATCATTCATACACTATCATTCCCTGTTTATGGAGCCCAAGATCAGCCCACACCCTTTAAAATTGATAATGTTACTCAGCCTATGAACGTTAAGTATATTCTTCTACCTTTAAAAAAACAATATCAGTGTTTATTGATTTTGGGCAGAGCATAAGAATGAAAACATTTTCGAGGACTAAAATAAATCTCAGTAAAAGAGACTAAATGGAATTTTTGTCATGGGAAATCAGTGCCGCAGAAAACGGACAGAACCTGTCTTGTCTTTTGTTTGTTTATTTGTTTGTTTGTTTGTCTGTTTGTTTGTTGTGGTGTGAGACCCATTTCTGTTCGTTTTATTTGTTAAAACTATCAGAGGGTTCTCACAATGAGCTTGTTGCGCTTCTTGATGAGCTGGTGTTTGCGCACGCCCAGCACGAT